GTTTCTTTCCACCCGCCGAGAGCTGGGGGGAGGGGCGCTCGGGTCCCGCCGGGCCGGGGCTTGTATCTTACCCCCTTCGCAAGGCTCTGGGTTCTTGCAGGTGTGGATGTGGTCTGGATGTTGTCCTGTGTCCTCTGGTCTCTATTTTAGGAAGATTTTTCTTTGTTATATTTTCATAGCTCTATGTGTTTTTGGGAGATTTCCAATGCTCTACTCACGCCGCCATCCTCGCTCCGCCCCTCACATTTAAATCATTTTTAAATAAATTAATTTTAATTTTCACCAGCTTGATCACACATTAACATTCCTTTTCAACAAACTAACAGCTTTCTTCCTACATTGAGATTTTGTCCTAAATTGTCCCTCTTTAAAAAACCATCCTCCACCTGTGGGACAAAATTACTCTTTTCACTTCAATGAAAAATGTGTTTTGATTCTTCACACCTTCTTTTACCAAAATGACACATCCTACTTTTCTTCTTGCAGAGATGTTTCCCTTATTTCTAGTGGCTTTAATAACATTTATGAGAATTCTTAATTTTTAGAAACCTTAATTTCTAGTGAAAATTAAGTAGTAAGCAATTGTGAACTGTCTGTTGCACCAGTATTCTTTATAATGGCAAATTTATTACTACATTTCATAATTTCTAGGAACTTGCTTCTTCATAGTACAGTCTTTCAATTAAGTACAAAACATGTTTACAAATAGACCAAATTTATCTTTAGTTTCTCTGTAATAAGGAGACAAAAGTATGTAAATTTAGATTTGCCTAGTAATTATATCTTATTTGGAAATGATTTAGATATTCAATGAACTCCCATCACTTAATTTAACTTAGCAAAATTTTAAGGTTTCAGGTTATCAAAAAGATTTTGGATGCTATTTTTAAGTAAAGATCTTTACTATACCAAGTTATTATTGACAAATTTTGTAACAGTGGTTAAGATGAGCTTATTCTTAGTCACCTTGGATAGAATATAAAGGATACTTAATGCTGGTAATGCTAAAGACATGTCTAATTTTATTAAACCAACAAACCTAAGCTCATTTTTACTTACTGAAAATTATCCTAGATCACATGCACTTGAAAAACATTTGGGTTAATTTCTATTACATTTCTGAGATTTAGAAATGTTCAATTTATAAGCACTTATTTTTAAACCAATTAAATAGAGCTTTTTACAAATTAACTTTAGCAATACCATCTGGAGGTAGAAAATGCCACACATATAAAACACACACACACACACACACACACACACACACACAAATACACACATTCAGATAAATTCCAGTTTTAAATTATTGCCATGAATTTGGTATAATACAAAATTCACTAGTTATGAAAGAAGTTGGATCCAGGTTTGTTTTTCTGGTAAATGGAGTAAGATAGGGTTACCCATCTAACATGACTAAAGCTCTTTCTAATGGTGGAGAAGACACTTAAGATTTGTGTTTTTCCTTGACAAGTCAAGTTCTAAATGACATATCTGCTTTTGAAATTCAAGGTAGACATTTACATCTCCAAGGCATACATGCACACACACACACACAAAAAAAAAAAAAAAAAAAAAAAAAACCTGCAAGTTCCTCCCAGAGGACTTTTGTTCCTTTAGCCAGAGTTTTTACAGTATCAACAAGCCTTTTGAGATAAACAAGGGTTGGGGATTGGTAAAAGAATCCATGGGCTTTGAATTGTTACTGGAGCCACACCTCCAATCCTGTAAAGACTATAGTTGTAAAACAAGAACAGCTGTTTTAATTCCAGAAAGAATTGGGTTGCCACCTAAATGATATCAAAGGACAGACCCACCCATCACCTATGTTAGAATATTTTTCTTCCCCTTTGGGTACATTTAACTTGTGGGAAAGTCCTTTAAAAATTCCTATAAGGCTTTTAATATCAGCTTCCAATTTGGAAGTTATTAAATCCTTTCAAACATCATCTCGGGTTTCAGCCAGGACAAACAATAAAATTTCTTGGCAGTACTGAACAACCTCATGACCCAAAAGGCATCCTCAAAAACAGTGAAAAAGATACTTCTTCACAAGATCTGGAGTTACTACTAAAGATAGCCTGATAACCTACATGTCTGAGGCAGGCAGAAAGCTGATGCAAGTTCTTGGGATATAATATGAGCAAGCAAGAAGGCAATAGTTAGTTACTCCTGGGAGAGAAAAGATCAATAATCAATTGGTCTGGATTAGGAAATATTGGGGAGGAAGAATATTCCTCTACCCTTCAAGGTTCTTCTAGCTGGTCTAAGAATCAAATTCACATGAGACATATTGACAGCTGAAAAGAAAACCAAAATTTAATTACATACAACAGGGAATCCATAGACATTAAATTCTAGACAGTCAGGGACAGTGACATATGTATGTCATCCTGAACTAAGGCGAGAGGGTAGGGAAGGAAGGCAATCCACTGGAATATGAAAGAGTAAATGTTTGGTAAACAAATACTTGATGGGCCATACAGAAACAATAGGATAGAGACCAATTTTAACAGATATAGCCACATCCCTCTCTGTCTACCACACCTACTTCATATTATAAAACATTGTTGTCTGTGGTGACAGCTCTCATCCTGGAGGAATCCCTCCCTCTAAATTCTTTTTATGCAGTTGCAGGTGTGTGTGTGTGTGTGTGTGTGTGAGTGTGTGTGTGTGTGTCTTTCTTTCTGCATCTTGATTGTTTTCAGCTGACATAAACTATGTGCCAAAGTGGTATTCTTGGGTCAGCCTGCTCTGCTCATGGCTCCTACAGAAGGGACAATGGAAATTTTATTTTTCTCTCTGTACTTGCCTCTATTTACAAAAACTTGAGGATCCTCCCTGAGATTAAGAAATTTTTTCAACTGTGGCCCTTAGTTCTGCCTTTGACCAAGGAGTGAAAGATACCTGAAGAGGATCTCCTGTAGCCCTGGGTAGTTTTTATCTTAAAAGGTAACTGTTTAATAGTAGTTGGCATGGAAGAGCCCAGAATGAAAACTCCTTCTTCCACAGGCTAGAGTGTCTATGATTTGAACTTCCCACCCTTGCCAATGAGAGGAGCACCTGGGTTTTCCTACTGGCATGTCTAAGCAGGGCAAAAAGGAAAAGGGGAGTAATGGGGTTTGAATGATATCAGTGGTCAAACATCAAAAATGGAGTCACACTCTTCATTACAGGTTATTACAAGTAGCACTGCTATGAACATTCTTGTATAAGCCTTTGGCAAACATGCATTTCTCCTGGGTTAATCTCCAGGAATACAATTGCTGGGTGTATTGACTTTGGTAAATACTGCCAAACAGTTTCTCAAAGTGATTGTATCAAATTACATTCTCTCCAATGTTTATGTCTGTACTGCAGCTCGTTTATCCCCCCTGCATTTGAGGGATATTCAGTTTGTTTCCAATTTTTTTGTGATTATAAATATTAATGTGCAGATTTGTGGTAAGCATAGGTTTTCATTTCACTTGGGTAAACATTATGAATGGGATGGTTAGGTTTTATGGTAAGTGTATGCTTAACCGTGTAAGCAAGCAGGCCAGCTGCTTTCTGAAAGTGACTATATTACTTTGCCGTAGCAAGTCCTGTTCCAACTCCAGGGGCCTTTTGAGTTCTGATTCTCCACATTCTCATAAATACTCAGTGCAGTCAGTCTTTCATTTTAGTCTGTTCAGTAAGTGTGAAGTAGGTTTTAATTCATTGTTTTGATTTCCATTTCCTTATTGAACATATTTTCATGTGCTTACATGCCATACAAATATATTGTTCGGTGAAGTGTCTCTCCAAATCCTTTGCTCCATTTTTTAAAACACTGGGCTGTTTGTTTTCTTACTATTGAGTAAATAGGGCTCTTTGTATATAATTTTGGATATATAAAGATGTAAGTCCTGGATATAAGTCCTTTATCAGCTATATGATTTGCAACTACTTTCTCCTAGCCTGTGATTTCTGACTTGTGATCTGTGAGTTTTCACTACTTTAACATTGGAAGAGCAGAAGTTCTTAATTTTGGTGAAGTTCAAACAATTAACTTTTTTCTTTTATGAATTGTGTTTTTTGTGTCTTATCTAAGAAATCTTTGCTTGCTCTAAGGTCACAAATATTTTCTTCTAGAAATTTTATAATTTGGGGTTTTACATTTAGGCCTTAGGGGGGGTTCTGATAATGTACATTTTTAAAAGTCACAGCTTATGTCCAGTAAAACAGTGAAGGTATATAAAGACAGTCATAATTCCTGTGCATATAGTCGAACATTATGGATTTCTGTAACTCAAAGCTTATCTTTCAGAATAAATGACATGAAGCTCTGGGAACAATGGGGCTGCTTTCCTCTTTGTATCCTACCTTTGATAGGTGTGCTGTCAACTATCTATTTAGTAGGCTATAAATATACCCTTCCATGCTATAAATAATTTCACATAGTCTTGGCTTTGTCTCTCTGCTCCTTTAGAGGCTCATTTGTTTGGCCTTTCAAAAAGTTAAAAGTTGGGAAGCAGGTTTGCTTAATGAAACTGACAAGCAAACCCTCAGTAGTATAACAAATACATGAGAGTTCATCTTGAAATCAGAATAATTTGTAATCAATAACTTTAAAATTGTCTACAAATGTCCAGGTCCACCTCAACAAACTGACAGATTATTCTTCTCTTACAGAGTGAAGAACATTGGATATCTCTTTATTTTTATGAGTATCTTTTTTTATCTACCTTGAGTCACAGTTAAAGTTAATGAGCTATTTATTTCTTTACAGAGGCAAGAGACACCTCCTTGATTTGTGGAGCACCAGTGGCATCCCTGGTTGCATTTGGCCTTGTTCTAGAGTTCCCACAGGTTTCACAATGGGCCTTCAAGCTCAAAAATCCCAGTTCCAGGATTTGAGCTAGATAAAGGACATAACTTTCCTCAAGGTGAAGGAGTTCTCTATATTCCAACACACATGCAATGTCAGAGAGAGTTCACATCTTAGAGAGTCTTTAGGTGGGGAAATCTTTATAGCGCTTAGCACATTGTGTCCCAAAGGTGGGACATGCAGCAGAGAACACAACAGACAATGCCAAAGTCTGTTGTACACCAACTATTGTGTGGGTATGTGTAACCCTCTGCAAAAGACATTTGAAGGAGAGCTATGGTGGACAGGGGCAGGGAAGATGGACCTCCCTGATATGCAGACTGTAAACTATGGAGTTAAGCAAGGTGAAGACTTAAGAATATTATAGTATTATTAGCCCAGCAATCTCCCATTTCACAAATGAGACCTAAGATTATTTGTCTTGCATCCCCACACAGTCCTATATAACTTCTTTGTGGTCTTCACTCAGCCCAACTTGAATGCCATCCAGTAACCCCATCTTTTCCAGGTTAAAGATGCCACAAGGCTTTGGTGGTCACTATGAATCATATCCAGATTTACCGTGCTTGCTCTTGGTTTTGAGGTAATTGTGACTTGCGACGCTTGGATCCTTGAGGATGGTCTGGAAACCCACAGTCATCGGGATGGTCAAGAGCTACTTTCCACTTGTGTTTTCTTGAAATTCCCTGTCATAGTTCTAGTATCCTGCTGGAACATATGTGCCGGATGGAATGGAGGGTGGTCTGGCCCGCTGCAAAGGAGCACCCAGGATGTAAGTAAGTACTACAAGAGAACAACAGATTATAAGGAAGTTCTCAGGGTTTGAGCCACACTACTGGAATACCATCCAGTGTTGGTAAAGCCTGAGTCCTGAGGTCTGGTAGATTGTAGAATTGCAGCATTAGAGTCCATTTGGATTCTTGGAAGGGCTTCAGGCCACATAAAGCCTGCTTGTTGCAAAGTTTTATTTAGTTTTGTTTACCACCATAGTTTTGCTTCTCTCACCAGTGCTTTGGAGGATGGAAGGGATGTGTGGTTTGTAATTTATACACGTTGGAAAAGTCGTCCCATAAGGTGAGAATATTACTGAGTTTAGATATGAATCTAAATATGAATCTATGTTTTCCTGGAGAGGAACACATTTTTGGAGATCATTTGACTGTGGTAGCACCTGCCTTCCAGTAGGGGTCGTCTCGGGCTGCCCACAAAATAAGCCTAACTTAGACCCAGGGATGGCTCCTAACCTCACATCTCTTAAGAGGGTGCTTCCCCACATTACCAGTGGCAGAAGAAAAGCAGGGCACACAAGGAAAAACCACTAAGTTAAAAAATCCAGGTGTGTGCCTAACATTTTTTATTCTCTCATGCTCCTTCATCCAGTTGTGTGCTAAGCTGTCAGGGAGAGTAAGGAGGGACCTGGGGATCACAGGTGGCCCATCTTGGTGGAAGCTATAAATAGATAAGACAGGATGGCAACCTGCTAGTGTCCAGGCAGCCTTTTCTATATTGGGGTCCCATCCTGTGTGGCTCTGTGGTTGTTCCTACATGGGGAAGGGAGGAGGGGTCAGGGACCAGGGTGCTTGTAACTGTATGTATGCGGTGGACTGCTTCACCGCATTTCCTTTTGTGTACTTCAACTGCTTTAACTTAGTAAACAGAGCTTTCCTGGGTAGAAATTCATACTTATAAATCCAATGCAGCAATAAACTTATAAATATTCGGCATCTAGAGATCTCCAGGTTGTTTCAATATTATGACTAGTTCAGTAAGATTTCACCTTAAAATAAAAAATCTATATTGCTCCAACATTTCAAATCACGCTGTCATTCTATCAGACAAAACCCCCATTCCTGTGACAAATATGTAAAACATCAAATATGCAAAGCCACTTTCTTAACACAAAAAAATATTAATACCAATGGATCTTTTCTCTTAAATATTTCTATGTTTTATTCTAAAGCTTCCCGGGTTAAAAAATGTTTACCACCTGAGGAAGGCAGTTAACATACCAGTGACCTGAAACTACTTACTAGCACTTGGGCTGGGAGGCTAAGAACCTTGTTTTAGATCCCATGGGAAGCACTAAACTCTATATATGATTATGTTAATGATTCATAATGTCAAGAGGGTAATAACTGGTTGAACATATACAATATCTGATATTTGCTTTAAAATACTCCACAAAAAAAGAAAATACATACTTTAATACATAAATAGGGGAATGATTACCTAGACACTTCCCTAGCTTCATTTTGTTACATATTTTTTCTCCTTAAAAGTATGTGGTTTTTAGCCAAGTTGGATACTTGATTGAATTTTGAAATCTTTATATAAATGTACATGTTGATATGTAAATACCTTTACATTAAAAAGTAAAGATATGTAAATATCTCTCGAGATCCTTGAATTTGATGTTACATAGTAATGTCTTTTGCATTTAATTTTAAGACATGAAGACCTGAGGGAATTGTGCCTTCTTTCATATTCATAGGACTATATAAATCCTGAGGATCTTAAAAATTAAATGCAATTGGACTTTGGATATTTTACATGGCTACATCTGATTCAAGGTCTGGACTTCTAGGTTCATTCTACTAATAATCCTTTTGAGTCAGAAAATGTCTCCTAGCTGCTATATTTAAGTTTCTGTATTCTTCATGATATCAATAAACAAGTTAATATCAACATGATTAACAAGCTCAATAGTTACGCAAAGCGTTACTAATAGAATTCTTGAATCTGTGAAGACCTCCTATTTATATTGAAAAATCTTGATTCCTAAAATACACATAATTAATTTGTATCTTAATACAAGAAAATGACTTAAAAATACAATATTAATTGTATCAATAAAACTCCAGAATAAAGCCCAATATTTTTTATGCAGTTTCTTTTGTTTTAACTCTCTCCCACAGTGTCATTGCCATTAAGTGTGTGTGATCAAACATGTTCTAGAACTGCACTGCTCAATATAAGTAGCCACTAGCTCTATGTGGCTGCTGAGTGCTTGAAATGTGACTAGTCTGAGCTGAGAAGTGCTGCAAGTATGAAGCACACACCAGATTTTGAGACAGTATACAAAAGAATGTAAATATCTCACTAATATTTAATATTGATTATATCTTGACAATATTTTTGACATTTTGGTTTAAATAAAAATGTATTATTAAAATTAATTTCACCTGTTTCTCTTTACTTTTTTAATGTGGCTATTAGAAAATTTTTAATTCCATAAGTGGCTCACATTTGTGGCTCACCATCTATTTCCATTGCCCAGTACCGGTCTTGAGTCACCCAGTCATGCATTCTGTGTGTGCTGATAAGAGTTCCTTCATTGGATAGATGGACTGGTGCAGTTTTTTTCAATTTGAGGGCATTAGATTTCTAACAATGGATGGTCCTGAGGTCTTAAAAGGTGGAGGCTTTCTGCTATTGGACTGTTCTTAGTGCCAATGATACTAGAGGGAAAGAGAGAATCTGCTCTTTTACTCCAGAAATCTCAGTCTCCAAGGTTTTGTTAAGAGTTTTATTTCACTACCATTAAACCATACAACGATTTAATGCCAATTCTAAGTATAAAATTAATAATATGATTTCTGGCTTATTAATAAGCCAGTTCTAAATCATTATGTATAATTTCCAGTGATATTAGGAACCATGTATTTTCACATGCTCAGTTGATTTTGAATTTATGAAGACTTTGACCTAATAGTATTAAAAAGAAAAACAGGCCCAACATGGTGTCACTTCTGCTAGGCCAAGTATCACACCTGGGCTTAATACAGACAGTCTTAGCCTCTCCCAGGAATGGGATTTTAAACCAATCAATCAGGAATTTCCTAACCATTGGTGAAATAATCTGCATAAAGTCCCCTGCTCTTCCTCCTAAGTGAGGGTGACCTTTCCTGAAACAATCCCTAATCTTTTCTATAACTTGTCACACTCTCCTGCCTATAAAAACCTTCCATGATGTACACTCCTGCGAGCATCTGTGCTTGGTCGAGGGGATGCTGCCCAGTCATGAATTACTTAATAAAGCCAATTAAATCTCCAAATAGACTGGTTAAATTTTGTTTTTTAACGCTAGTAAAATCAGCATCATGACCCACAGAAGGACAGTCAGGAGACAGTAACCACAGTCATTTGAATAGGGAAAGTTTAATATAAAGAATTTTAACTTTAAAGGGAACTAACCACTATGAGAGAATAAAAGAGAACTTGAAAAAATACCTTAAGGCAGAGGGAGTGTATTCAAAGAAGGAACTAAACTTGGAAGTGGAGGGAGCTCCTCCATGAGGTTGGGACCCAGACCTCACTGGAGAGGGTGTGACTGCTGCCAATGGATGGCAGAAGTTCACCGGGTTGCCCGGGGCCAGAGCTGTACAGTCAGCCGTTGAGGCTGGCAAGCAGGAAACTATGGGCGCTGGCTGACAGGCAGAACTAACCCAACAGCTGGGGTACAGTAGGCAGAAGTTAAGAGGGCAGGAAAGCACCTGCGCTTGTGGATGAAATTTACCCTCGAGCACCCCCTACTGATAAAGCTTCACATTGAGGCTGCTGGCAAAGAAGGAACGTTCCATCAGGAGCAAGGAGGCATTAAGTGACAATTGGCACACCTCCTCTAAAGGTAGGAGGGCCTGATCTTCTGCCATCTGAGGCCTTTTAAAGGTACATAAAACACCTCCTAGAAGAGAATTTTACCAATATTCTTAGTGAGGTTTTGTAATTTCTCCCAGTGGCAATTAAGGGCTTAGCTTTTTACTTTATAAGATCTCTGACTCAGTCTGGCCAGGATGAGAGTTCACTTTTTTTTTTTGCCTTAAACATTTCAGGAAGTAGTGGTCCCAAGATCAGTACCAGAAGTTTTGGGTCACTGCTGGTACACCAATCCCAAATTATAAGGAAGAGGGGCCAAGAAGTTTAAAATTAACTGACTTGGGGAAAGCTGGGCTTTCCCTCCAGCCAGATGACATCAAAAGGACACTAATCTAGCCTGAGGGGAAACAGAATGCACATGATATTGAGGGATCTGAGAGGAGAGGGGTACAACAGAGGCGAGACAGTCAAATGGGTAGAAAAACAGATTTCTGATACTTGCCTGAAGCAACAAGGCCTTTCTAAGCCAGCCCAGGGTCAGAACTTGGATACATTAATACCAGTATGCTGTGGAAGGCGGCGAGAGACTTGGAGGAGGACACAGAAGACACTAAGGGGTCTCACCGAGTGGGCACTTATTTCATCCCGCATTACATCTCTACTCTTCCTGGGGTCTGTACTGCTCCTTATCTTGGTGACTATGCCAAATTGTTGCAGGGCAGGGTAGAGACAAAATTTAAAAGCATTATTTTGTCATTTGTAGGGACTGCATCACAGAAGGAAGGGGGGAGCGCTCACTCACCAGAGATCAGAGACCAGCACTTGCAATTCTTTACCTATGAAAACTGCACTCTTCCTGTGATACAAAATGGATTCAGTTTAAGACTCCCTCCATAATTGCCTGTGGTCATGGGAGGAGGAGAATGTTCCTGCCTCGGGACATCCCAGCAGGAAAGATGAGATCTCATCCTGTTCATCAGGGGAGAAAAACTGGGCCTTGTTTTAAGTTCACAAACTTCAAAAAAACTTTTAAAGGGGAACTGAAAACAAATATCTTGAAAAGAGGTCCCAGTATTTGTCTAGTAAAATATTAGAGATTTATGAAAGGGTCACAGAGTTTGTTAGCTCAGAGTTTAAATTTTAGAGAATGCAACCTGAAACTGGATTTTCTGTTGAGAATAGGGTCT